TAATCGTTAGACTGTTCTCTGTAACTATGAGTCTTTCTATTTTGTTGATTTATTAATTTTACTCTTTAGATTCCAAATATAAGTGAAATCCTATAGCATTTATATTTCTCTGACTGACTTCTTTCACTCAGCATAATACTTTCTAGGAAAGACCCTCTCATATTTTTTGTAACCTAATTCTTCCTTCTTTCCCCTCTTCTCCTCTCCTATCCTCTCCTCCTCTCTCTTCCTCACTTCCTTAGGAGGTTTTCCAAGCCACAGTCCTGGAATTTCTGAACCAAATACTCTTGTCTCCATTATTATTTCTACTTCTGGAAATAATGTTTCAGACAGCAGTGTCTCACAGGAAAGGAAAGTCATTGTACTGCCAGTACTTGCTAGATGTTTCTCTTATTTCTCATTTTTTTTAGACATCCTTAATAAATTAGATACCCTCTACCCATATTAATTGAACCAGGGCTTTGAAACTTTCATTGTTTATTATAATTTACCTACTAATATTTAAGTGTAAGATTCCTTCTATTGTACCTGATTTTTTTTCTAAAAAAGGAACATGCGTAGATCCGTGACCCTTTTATTTGAGGATTTTGTATGGCAAATCAGTTTCTTGTTTAGCAAAATTCCTTCCTTCACTTTGAGCTTGGCAATATGACTGGCTTTGGCCAGTGGGGTGTTAGTGGATGTGATATGAGCAGAGGCTCTAACTATGTTTATTAGTATGTCCTCGGCTTGCCCTCTTGTGCTTTGGCCATGATAATGAAAAGAACACACTGTGAGAAGTGCTGTCCCACCCTCTGGGCCCCGTGCTGGAATATGTGAAGCAGGGACGCCCCAGCCAACCTGGTAATCTACAGCCTCAAACAGCTGACCAGGCCAACCAGCAAGCACTTATGGGAGAAATACATGCTTATTGTTATATATCAGTGATTTTGTGGTTGTTGATTGCACACCAAAAATAGACTGTTACATGGAGTAACAGTAAATGGTAGACCAAGTTCTACCACTTACTAGTAGAGCTCAGATATCTGTATTTGAAAATGCAAGGTTTGCATTCCTTGAACCCCCAAGTTATTTAACAAGATTTAAACCTCATGATCCATGAGTTTTCCACACTTTCCACAGCATATTTCCCAGAACGCGGATCAAAATAGAACCATTATGAAATGAAAGCAGAAAGAATGGGATTTGCTTGTGTTCAATATAGAACTCTGAAGGGGCTGCTGAAGGGAAGAGGTGTGCCCGGAGAGGCTTCCGTGCCAGTTGGTTGCAGAGTACCAGACAGTAACATGCTACTTCCCACTAAGTCAGCCTTCAGGGATCCAGATGTAAAGATCAGACACAGGCTTTACTCACCCTCTCTAAGAACAGAGCATGTTTACTAACTTGCATAAGACAAGATTCAATGCATCATGGAGAAGAATAAAAAGATGGAGTAAAAATGGCAACTAGAATGTTGAAATGGAAACATTCTTGTTTTGCCTTGTTTTCTCTTGAGCATTTGTGTCCTGGGCTTCGGCATCAAAAATGAAAATGACAAACTCTGGTAGCACTGTCCCACCCATAAAGGCCCATAATGAAAACATCTGCTTTATAAAGGGGATTCCTGCTTTGCATGAGAGGCTGACTGTGGCACATATAAGGTCCTACCCATCCCTAAAGTATCAGGACATCATACAAGAATGAGTTTATTTGAAGCAGTCACGTGTAAGAACCTAGGTAACCTTTGTTCATGGCAGATACTTTAAAAGCTCTAATGTCCCTTAACTTAACCCCGCCCTTCAAAAAAAGCAGAAATCTTGTTAAGTATCTATTGTACCCTTTTTACACATTTAAAAATTGCCTTTGACCACAGATTTCCTCTAGTTATTCACTTGCTGCTTGCATGTATGCCACGGAATCATTTCCATAAGGATGATATATTTCTAAAATCAAATTTGCTGACTGGCAAAATTAATACATTTACTTGTAATAAAATTACTTTTGAAGAGGACACTAATATAGAATTAAAATTTTGTCATTTAGGTAATATTTTTAAAGAAGGAAGCGTTCTTATGCAACATGACTGAAATGCTCTGGGGAGCTCTAAAATCATTTTTTCATTAAATAGAGCTGAAATTATGCGCACAACTAGAACATGAGAAATAAAAGAGGAAAACAAAGTATAGGACACTAGGGAATGAGAAAATGGACTGTAAAAGGCACAGTGTTCAAGGTTACCCAGTGAGTCAGGAAAAAGGGGTAGGGTTGGGCTGATGCTAAGACCCAAAGCATATTCACATTAATGTCCTTGCATTAAATCTGCCTTTTTTAGTAGATAATGTATTCATTCTCTTATATGGGGGAAGATATACATATTTTCCATTCTCTTAGGGTCTAGCATATGTTACTTCACAAGTGCTTATCAAGTAAAAAGATAAATAAATAAATCCCTAGTAAGCCAAAGTTAAAGCATCATTTTACATATCTAATCTCATTATTCTCACAACCAATCACCTCTGAAATAGGTATTATATAACTCCTGGTTAATAGATTAATTTAGGTGATGTTTTCACCATATGAAGCTGCTTAGCAAAACTCTGTAAAGAGTCTAACTCTTAAGAAGGCTCACAGAGGGCGCTATTAAATATAAATACAAAATAGGTGAAGATAGAACAAAAATGCCCTTTGAAGAACTCAAATTCAGATACAAAGTTGATACTTAGGAGAACGGGAGCAGTTTGATTATTTTATTTTATGTGGCCTATCTTAGTAGCTAATTAGTCGGGACATAAATTGGGCATGTCTGTACAAAATCCTTAGTTTCTATTGATAAATTATTTGTGCATGAGGGCGTCTGGCAGTTAAGCCACAAAAACTTTAACAGAAGGCTTTGACATCATATAGATCTACCACAAGAAAGCAGTCCTACATAGAACATTAAGTTTCTGTGCTCCGTGTCTACTTCTTCAAAGCACTGCTCATTTGCTTTGCCAGTGGATACAGTAAAGAGATTTACTGTAATAAAGACATTGGATTCCTTAATATAAACATGGGTCTCTGCCCCCAAAGTACTGCTGCCTCTGTGAGAAGTGGTCTTCCACCCAAAGTCACATGTAGCAAAGGCGTAAGAAAGCAACATGTGTTCGCAAGTTTAGAGACAGAAAACAAGGGAGGGAAGGAGGAAAGGAGCATTACCAGCATCAGGTAAGATCTCAGACTGTACAACTAGGCTCGCTAGGTTCATTCTTGGCCCTTCCTCTTACTGTGCAACCTTGAGAAAGTGACTTAACTTCTTTAGGACTCAGTTTCCTCATCTATAAAATGGAGAAATTAATAGTACCTATTGTATAGGGTTATTACAAGTATTAAATGAGTTAGTATTTGTTTATGCTTAAAACAGTGTCAGGTATACAGTAATCCCAATATAAATGTTTAATAAGTACAAGAAGGTAGAGTGAGAGAGACTACTGGACACTCTGTGTCCTTAATGCATTGTTTTGCTTCCTTCCAATGGAGTCCTTTACTTTTCACCTCTAGGGCCACTTGATTTCTACCCGTAAACTTAACCCCATTTCCGGTCTGACCCCAAACAACTCTCATTCAGAGAGATTTAAGAAGCTCTAACTCAGTAGTTCAGGTGACTCAGCATTAAACCAAGTTTGCTGTTATTTTTGTCCTGACCCTGTGTCCCAGTTTTAGTCCCTTGTTCCTGTAATCAAGTCCCCGCCTTGTACTCCAGTTCTAGCATACTTCTCCCCTGTGGCTGAGTCCCGGCTAGCAGGACCGGCCAAGGTCCTCCCATTCCTTCCCGGCAGACATCTCTCAAAGGGCAGCCTCTGCACTAGAAACCACACTTTGGCACACACAGTTGTTTGAACCTTTGAAAATCAGTTACCTGTACTTAAAAATTGCAGACTTTTACACAAAGTTCAAAGTTCTGACTTCTATTGAAACATTGGGTGGTCTGACAACACTTGGCCCCCTTGGCACCAACCCACTGGAGCTGAGTGGTAGCTGCTCCCTTTGGAAGGCCATGTGCCCTCTTATTCCCATTGTACCATTAGATTGGATCTGGATCTAGATCTGTTTGCTTGGCCCTTGCAAGCATTTGAGGTTGAGGTCTAAGACTGAGAGTAGCTGGTGCTTACCAAGCACGTACTTTGTGCCAAGTATTCTTCTAAGTGTTTCACATGCTTTTCTCATTTAACCAAAGTTCATAAACCTGTTTGTCCTTCTACCCACTATCCTTGCAGCCCTCTCCTTGCTTCCAACCCTCTGTCTGCATGGATCTGTATCATTCCAAATCACTATTCTCTACCCACCAGGTAAGGGCCACTTGCAAAGCTTTGTTGAGCCTCCGTAATGTCAACCACTCACACATAATGTGGCCTGTTGCCTCTCCAATCTCCCCTGTCCAACTGGACCCCGTTGTCAAGAACTTTGGTCATCAGAGTGGTTATATTTCAGTTACAAAATCTCAAGCTTTATTGATATGAGTGTTCCTATTATCTCATGCCAGGCTTTTATAAAACCATACAATTTATTATATATAGACAGTCTTCACTCTCACAAGACTTTTGTTCCAGTTCTTGTTAGAAGCCCAGCAAAAACCCACCAAATATTTATTGACACTTACTTATGTTTTAGGCTTTGTAACAGAAACTGATTTGAATATTTACTAAGAGATCCAAAGAAGTTTGCTCATCTCTTCTACTAGCACAAGCAATTCAATCTCTTTTCAGTGAACCACCTAGGAAACTAACATTATTTGAACACAATGGGCAATAATTTTTCTCATGACAGGCCCTGTGCTTTACAAAACAATGGATAAAATAGAAAAACATTTGCATGACTAAACCGAGATTTAGCAAATGACAAAGAAAACTCACAAAACTCATTCCACACACCATTCCATAAAATTATCTGGATTGAGTAAACCTGAATATGTATTAAAATTGAAACATAGCTGATTAAGTTCTACAATAATTTTTAAAGAAACCCTTAATAAAAATGTTACTTACATAGGGAATCGTGTCCAACGTATCAGTGTTGACAATTATAGGAGCAGGGCTGGCCTGAAAAATAGAAGTAGAAAATATTGTAAGTAGTCTATTCAAAGAATCTGTTAACTTTTTAAACAAAGAACTTAACAGTATTTCTTGAGGACCCTTATAGGCACTGTGTCAAGTGTTAGGAGAAAAAAATGAAATGGCTCAAAGTTCCCAACACCCTCTAAATATTTGTTTGCTACACTTACAACATAATGAAATGAAGTAAGCATTCATAGAACTTGTACTCATTTTCTCTTAAATTTTGAACCAGCAGTTTAGAAGATGAGGATTGGTGATGCTTAAGAGGCAAAGATTTCTAAAACATTGGGTGAGAGCTAAAGTTGGTAACATTTCTTTTTAAAGTGGCTGTGCTAAGTAAATTCGATTTCCCACTCTAAGAAGCAAAATTAAACTTAAGCCAATATTTACAACCCTTCCCCTTAAACTCCCTTTTGAGAGTATGTTGTAGTCAATGCAAAATAGAAGGGTTCACTTAGTGATATATATGTTTACCTATTATGCATGCTGTCATCATTTATTTATTTTTTGTTATTTATACATTTCTGATCATAAATCTTAAAAATCTTTGGATAGAAAATGAACACTTAGTCAAAGTGGCAGAAAATCTTATTGAATATGCTAAACTATTTTTTAAATTGTACAAACTACAGTCATTTGCCTTAAAGTTGAGTAGGAATCTGTGTAAAATATGATATAGGAGAGCTACAAGCCAAGTCATTAAAAAATAAGAGAGTGCAATCTGTATTTGCATCAACCGATCTGACTTCATGAATATTGAGTAGACCTATCTTTATTTTCTAGTTTCTAGAATTTCCACAGCAACTTTCCCTTCATCCCTGAAGGATCTTTAATCTTCTTACCAAATTGCAGATTTCATTTAGATAGAGGAAATACTCTCATCATGATTAATCGAGAGCTGTTCATTACGACACAGTGGTTTTGGCAAGTATTCAACGTTTAGGGCATTTCATTAGATGTGCCCTCTGGAGTTAACAGAGTTAACAGGTTTTTAATGTCAATCTGTGCCTATGGGATCCTAACCGAATGATAAGATAAGTAGCAATCCAGCAGATTTTACAAAATAAAATACCGTGTTTTAACTAAGAACACTGGACATTGAGAACATGTCCCTGGTCTACATATCTACATAGTGGGTCAACTAGATGTTCCTGGTTTGTAAAACTCCTACTAGAAAGTACCTTGTGGGTAAATGGGGGCTTTGGAGAAAGATAGTTTCCAGGGGACTCCACATAAAAACAGTGCTTGTGAAGAGGCATGTGGTGTGGGAGAAGAATGAGAGGTTTAGAATTAGAAGACCTGGGTTCAAGTTTGTTTTATCAACTTCCCAATACTTGAGGACTCTGCCACTTCCTTGTAGTGTGAACTGGGGGCAAGTCCCTTAACCCCTTTTGCCTCATTTCTCTTCTCTGTAGAATGGAAATAGAAATAATCACTTTCTGAAAAGGTTGTTTGAGGACTAAATGAGGTGATATATTTGAATTTGTTTGTAAACTTAAATGTCAGAATCAATGTTAAATATTATTATTAAAAGTGTACCTAAAGATGGACTACTGTGAGGATATATCACTATGTAGTTTGTGAACTGTTTATATCCCAGAGAGAAATCTCAATGCTGTGTTAGTGGCTATAACTACACTGAAGAGAATGGATTAGATAATGTGAACTACCATTTATTAAATACACTAGAGGCCTGGTGCACAAATTTGTGCACAGGTGGGGTCCCTCGGCCTGGCCGGTGATCAGGGCTAATCGGGGCCATCTTGCCCAGTACCAATCAGGGCTGTTGGGGGCCGGCTGGCTGGGGAGGCACCACGGGAGGTTGGCCGGTGGGAGGGCTCCAGGGCGTGTCTGGCCCTCTCGCCCAGTCCCAATTGGCTGGACCCCAGCGGCAAGCTAACCTACTGCCCCCTGGTGGTCAGTGCGCATCATAGCAACTGGTCAAGCAGTCGACCAAATGGTAGACTGTTCGGTCAGACACTTAGCATATTATGCTTTTATTATATAGGATATTATTTACCACTATGCATATAAGGAGATATATATATATATATATATATATATATATATATATATATATATATTTAATTTCCACAAAAACATATTGATGAGGCATTATTACCACTATGTCTATGCTATAGATGAAAAAAATGAGGCTCAGGGAAAATGAAAGCTGATATTTAACACTGACTTTGTAACTTCAAATCCATTCTTTTCTTACTAAGCTGCTCCTTGATCCTAGCATCTAATCTTGCATTGATTGGAGATCTCTAGCACCACACAAGATCGAGGAAAGCAAAGGCCACCATGAAGGCAAGTGATGCCTCAGCGTCTTACATAGTAGATGTTGAAAGCAATCTGGTGATGCCTTAATGGCTTTTACTGTTGTTACTATTGTTTGTTTTTACTTCTGAGGACATCTCTCTATGGTTTCTAATTGGTGCCCAGGACTCCAGAAAGTGATGATGCCTTGTCTCCTTTATTTTCCTGAAAACTTTGCGAGTATCACACCTAATATTGTATTTTACCTTATTATCTAGTATAGTATTGTTACTGAAGTTAGTGAGGTATTAATGAAGGAAAGGAAGCAAAGCATATGGGACACGAGCCTGTTTGCTTCACCAGGAAGATATAGCTTCATACCCCAAGGAATCACAGCATTGTCCCTCCTGGGGGATTAAACCTCTCCTCCCAGCTTCAGGTACCGGATTGTATATGTGGGGTACAGGGAAGAGGGGGAGATAAGGACATGCACAATAAAGTCAAAGTGGGGCAGGAGGTGGTACCTGCCATAGAGACCTGTTAGAAAAAGGTAATTAACTAGGTAATTGACTAGGTAATTGACTAATGCAAACCCGGGAAAATTTAGGAAGCTGATTGATTATTTTGAAAAAGCTTCTGGTTCTTGCCAGGCTTGAGAAAACATAATTTCAGGTGAACAAAGAATCAATCTCTCTCTCCCTCTCTCTCTTCTCCCCCCCTCCCCAGCATCCCCCTTCTATATGCTTATTTCCATTAATTGGAAAAATATTTGTAAAAAATATGAAAAAAATATCCTTTTAATCAGAAGTTACAAGGCTTGACTATATGTAAACCTAGATAAACTTAGTCTTAAGCCTTAAGAAAATGAATCTGTCTTGGGTGACCCAAACTGTAATATGTAAATGATTTGTCTTAACATTCTTTTCCAAAGGGGGAAAGCAGTTTACAAAAAGAGGGAAGAATAAAGGTAATCATAGAGAAGCAGGAAGCAAGCAGAGAGGCTACTAGTACAATTTAAATTGTGAAATTAAGTTATTCATGAATTCTACCACCTTCCTGTCCTTGGGATCTATGAGATAGCCAAATATTTTTATATTATATCAATAACTTTGCTTACATTAAGAAAAAAGTAAACTTCCCTTGATTGCTACCATGAGAATGTAACTAATAAAGATTGCTATAATTCATGCAAATTTTCAAAGGAGTTCATTGATATTGACTGATGTGGTTTCTTCTTGATATTTGTTAAGTGCTAGATCTAGGATATGCCTCTGAGTTAAATGGGCAAGTAGTCACCAGGCCAGCTACAATGAGAAAGTCTCTTCCAGCAAGATATTGATAGGGATAAGGTATTGATAAGGTATTGACAGAAGCCAGTAAGTCCAAGGAGACACTCTGGGAAGCTTAGGTCTGACAAGTGGTAAGTAGGTAGCAGAAACATCAACAGACTAAAGCCAGGCCAATGCCTAAGCTTTGTTTTTTTTTTATTTTTTTTTTTAATTGCTTAAAGTATTACAAAGGGTATTACATATGTGTCTTTTTTTTCCCCGCCCTTGACTATCCCCTGGCCTCCCCCACCCCCCAGCGTCCCATGTCCATTGGTTATGCATATATGCATGCATACAAGTCCTTTGGTTGATCTCTTATACCCCTCCCTCCTGCCCCCCAACTTTCCCCGGCCTTCCCGCTGCAGTTTGACAATCTGTTTGAGGCAGCTCTGACTCTGTATCTATTACTGTTCAAAAGTTTATAATGGTCTCTATTATCCTTTTAAGAAGCAAAATGGAAAAGGAGAGAAGGCCACATAGTCAAGTGACTTAGATACAGCAAGGACTGAACAGTAATACCAGTAACACTGATGGGGCTAGGAATTGAGCAGGAATTTCTCAGCCTTAAAGGACAGGCTCCTCAGTGGGCAGGAAGTGCCACAGGGCCTATACTTGACTTTATATATGGTATGGCATGACAGCTCAAAACAAGATGAAAGCCACTGGAAGGTTTAAAATGAGTCTATTTTGTATATGTACATGACCTCACCGAGAGAGCTGGAGATCCCAGAACTTCACGGTAAATCTTAGCTAGCTTAGATTGAGTGCTATAAGATGCCATATTAGCAGTCATTAGCTTCACAATCACACAGCAGGCTGCCATCAGGGGTGATGCCCTGATCCTATTTAGGAAAATATAACTTTGGGGTTACTACCCACATCCTCAATTAGGTCTGAAATGATATATTTAACGTCAAGTAGTACTAAGTGGTATGCTAAGGATTGAACTCTGAATAACTTTATTTTCTATTAAATTTCCTCCCTAACCTCCCATCACGTTGATCCACTGTGGAAAAAAAAAAGTGATGTGGTTGGGAGGGGAACTTCATTCTGGATTTCCTGAATTGCACTCCAGTTCTATATGGGGACTGAAAACCTTTCATTCCTCTCCTTCTCTCCCATAATGTTGGGCTGGAGCCTCATATCCAGAGGGGTTGGCAGAGTCCTACTCCTCCTTGAAGGATTTGCCTGGGACCTACCATTACTTGGTTGAGAATCATCACTACCTAGAATCTCATGATACCATGACCCAGCCACAGCGAAATCTCCTGGTATATTAACCCTGGTATAGATAACAATAAGGGAAAGCACTTATATAGCACTTATTTACAGCAATTAACTTATTTAATCCACATATAATCAATGAGACAGGTACTGTTATTCTCATCTTACAGG